TCCTCACACGGGGCACCAATTTACGGCGAATTGAGGGATAGGGGGAGACCTCCAGGCCTTAAGCTTCTAGCCCCATTACCTGCGAGGTGAATGCCCTTCCCCCCACCCCAGCACGTGGCCCAGTGACCCCGCAAGGAGCACACACAGACCACCTGGGAGGGACGGACGAAAGAGAAAGTTTATTGTGGGGTTGGGGTTTATAAGGCTTTTAGGAAGGTCAAAGGGGACCAATCACAAGTTCAGGGTCACACAAAAGAAACCATCAGGTAAGGGGTCAACAGCCAATAGGAAGGGGTTAAACAAAGGACCAATGGGACACCTCGGGACATCTTCCCAGGACACCTTGTATGGGAGACAATAGCTTCACAGGGGGTGTTTGGGAGAGGGATACAGTGACACTGCAGAAAATACACAAACATGTTGAGACATGTTTAAACTACAGTAAAAGCTTCTGTTTCCATAGGGTTTGAGCTGTTTTCCTCACCAGTCCATTTCTGGCAGGACTTTTTCCATATTGTATATGGCAAATTCATTGCCACAGTTGAGTTGCTTTTAATAACAGTAAACTAGCTTTAATTCCCTTTGAGTACCAACACCAAACTTTCTATGAATTTTGTAGCAGTATTCCTCAAATTCGTGGTTCAGTCAACTTCCGTATTTATGTGATTTTCTTCAGTTTTCCTCCAGATGGATTAATAGCTTTTGTAAATATGGTGTGAGATTTTTTTTTCCCCTGAAACTTATGTGAGCTTTTATTCTAAATGTCTATATAACCTTAAAGATAAACTCTGAAACTCAGGATTTGAAAGAGTTTGTGGATATATACAGTATGGCAATATCCTGAAGGTTCAGAAAAATGTCATGCTGTTTTCACTGCTTAAGAAAATTCTTCAGTTATATTTTATCTAATTTCATTTTAGATATCTATTTTTCCTCGTCCAAACAATACTTTCCACTTACCTGCAGACCCATCTGTCCCATTCATGATGGTTGGTCCAGGAACAGGAATTTCACCATTCATTGGTTTCCTACAACACAGGTATGTACCAAGTTGTTACCTGGAAACCAGTCTTTTTCTGTTGAGGAAAAATACAACCTCAAGTTTTGAGTACAAATGCAGTTAATATTTTCTTTTTCTTCCCTCCTTTTTGTAATGGTAGAATGCTGATTATAAACAGTCTTACTAAATTTCAAAAAGCATTGCTTGTGTACTTATTTGGTTTTTAAATGAGTAAAACTTACACTTTTGTCTGACTGTATTTAATGTCTATAGTAGGTATATGAGGAATTGAGTGAATTGTCGAAAGAGTAATAAGAAATTAAATCCTTTATCTGTGTGTTGCTGGTGGAAGTCCTGCAAATGAAGTAGAACTGTTGATTTGCTTAAGTTTGGTATTCCAAGTCCATTTTCTTCAGAAGAGGCACATATATTAAAAGTCTTAGCATGATGGATGTCAAGTTTTCTCCCACATTCCATTATTTCTGTGTGTTTTACATTTCGATGTTTTAAGATGAGGAGCTTGGCATGTAAACCACCAACTTGGTGGTAATCTTGGGGTTTGGGAGTTCATGTTTGAGGGAAGGTAGATCCCTTATTTTCTCCCCCCAGCTTCAGCAGCGTAATTTTGCAAGACGAAGAGATCTTTGTTTAAAAAGTGACAGCACATCACCAAGAATATGTAAAAACATCATCATTCTGAGGAATTAAAGAACAGGAAGAGTGGAGTATTTGAGAATGGTTCTAAGTTTTATAGATAACCAACACATATAATTTCTAGATGACTCATTAGTTCCAGTAAGATAACGGAGTTTCTTGGGTCCTGTAACAATTGTTTTTAAAACATTTATTTGAGAGAAAAGTGAAGTTTTGACTTGATGTTTCTAACTCCATGCTTCTTCCTTTACCAAATCATTATATACCATCCTTGCTCCTTAATTTAAATTCCTAAATGTTCCTTTATCTCTCAGAAGTATTTTGCCTTTTATTATAAGGTTAAATGAAATCTGTCTCTCAAAATTCAAGTGGAAAATTGCAGCTAAAACTCCTTTAAAGTAATACTTTCAGCATTATTTAAAGAAAATGAAATAACTTTTCTGATGATGTGATAGTTAATAGGTTCTTATTCATAAAATCTGGCAGATTTCTACAGCTAAATGGAAAGCATGCTAAAGTTGCTGAGTTTTCCCAGGTGGTTTTACAGGGCTTCCAATGAAGGATGAAAGGAAGTGATCTTATTCAGCAGTCAGAATTGTTTTGTGAGATGTTTGGATATGTCAGTCTTGACTATTCCAATATGAAACTGTTGACAAAAAAAGTAACAATTCTGAAGTTGATTGATTTTTGAGCTGGTCCAAAAGTGAGTAGTCAAGAAAATCAAATAAGAACGGTTTGACTTTGATTTACCTTAAGTCGTTTCACATTTCTGCCAATCCAGTTTTTTTGAAGTACTACTTTAAATGAGAATTGGGTTATACATGTTTTAGATTCTGCACTTGATAAAACAGGATTGGATTTTTTTTGTCTGTTTAGGCAGAAGCTCAGAGAACAACATACAGACTGGGAATTTGGAGAGACATGGCTGTTTTTTGGTTGTCGGCATCAGGATCGAGACTATTTGTTCAAGCAAGTTCACTATTTAACATTCATTTTGTATTCATGAGGGAATGCTTATCTCTGAGCCATGGCTAACAGGTTTTTATTACCTTTCAGAGATGAGCTGAGATGTTTTCTTGAAAATGGCACATTAACTCATCTTAAGGTTTGTTTCTCAAGAGACTCTTCAACTGCAGAAGTAGCTCCACCTAAATACGTGCAAGACATCATTAGGCTTTATGCCAAGGAAGTTGCCAGAGTCCTGCTGGAAGAGAAAGGTTACTTCTATATATGTGGGTGAGTAGAGTGGAAATGGACTGTCTCTGAAAGAGAGCAGCATTAGCAGAAGTTTGAGGCTTTAGAAAAACATAGAGCTGTCTGAAAGAAAGGACAAATGTGATGCTGAAAGAGCCTTCCTGGAAAGCTAGAGTTTCATCCATATGTCCATTCTTGTCCAATATAGTCTTGAAAGTATAGCTTGTAATGACACAGTTCCCCTGATTATATTATTTTCTTTTTTTTTTTTTTTTTTTTTTTAGTTTTAAGTTATAGGGGTTTTCAAGCTAATAGATTTCTCTTTAGAAAATGAGATATATGAATGCATGTGATGAGAAACTGCTTAGCTGTGAGATAGTAGCAGCCTTCTGCTGTGTTTCAGGTTTGGGTGCTCCAGAATGCTAAAGCTCTGTAATAGTTATATATTGTATAGTGGGAAATTTTATTTGGATGCTAACTTACCTGGAGGTTCAAGATTTTTAGAAAGTTTGTTGGTAAATGCACAAACTGTTTGAATATAGGGCCCGATGTCTATATATATATATTGATATAAATGTCAGCTATTTATATTAGAAATAGCATTACTAATAAGTGAGGGGTTTGGTAGCTTTTTTTGTTTTTCTTTTTTAATATTGGAACCACACAGTGATAATAATAATAAAAAATACTTCAGCAGGTCCAATTCTTCCTAAAAGATACCAGTTATTCTGTGAGAGGTCAACTAGGGTTGCAAGCTTTTTTACTTACAAATTACAGAGTGCTGAAAACTTTGTAATGTTTGATTGAGAGAAACCCTCGTTACTGTCAATGGTCAGCTACATGAAAACTCAGTAAGAATCTTGCTGTACAATATAAAAGCTATATTTTTGTTTAGATTTTTTTTTTTAATGCTGCTTTTCCAATACTGTCCTGCCTCTGAAGCTATTGATAAATGGAAAAATACACATTTTCCTCCTCTAATTTTTGTTTTTCAGAGATAAGAAGCACATGGCTGATGGTGTAAGCGATGCTGTAGTAGAAATTTTGAGCATGGAAATGGAAGCTGACAGATTGGAAGCAATGAAAATCCTGGCCATGCTTCGAGAAGAAAAACGCTATTTACAGGATGTGTGGAGCTAAATATTTAGCTTTTCCTATGCCTTTGTAACACAGAATACTTCTTTTCACACATGTACTTTTGACTAAAAGTTATTGTCAGAAGTGCTATGAGTAGTTACACAAACGTTAACTTTCTCTATTGACCTTTAAACAGGAACATGAAACCTTTTAAATGACAGCAAACCAGGCTGGCCTTTGAAGTGTCTGAGGTTTTAGAGATGTTACATAATGGACTGTCTCAGTGCCTTGATTCTCTCATTTTAAGATTAGTTTAATGTATAAATTAAAAACTTCTGCACCTGTACAAGCATAATTATATGTTGACATTACATCATGTATCTTTTCCTATAATGTACACATAATGAAGCTACAGAGTAAATATGTTACTCAGTGATCTGTGTGTTATCAAATACATTACTGACTTGCCAAGATTTATTTGAATACTTCCTAGATGCTTCCTGAGACTACTTATATTTTTTCAACTCGCACAATGACAGTAACTGCCAAAAGGTTACTGAAGAATTTCAGCTCCAAAATTCTCTTTAATACTTAGCTTTTTCATGACATCATTACTTTGTGTCTCGAAGTTTGCCACACCCTGTGCTATCATTATTAGATTTTCCTGAAAGTGTTTTCATTCCTGTCTCTAAAATGTTTGTGGTTTAATTTATGAGCAAACTCAACCAGTTGGGCTGAATTTGGTTGCTTAATAAATAGTTTCTCAGATTACTAAATTAATTTTGTTAATCGAAGACATAGTAAAATACAGTGTTTTGAAAGGAGTTGCCCATGTGACAATCCACTGCCAAATTAATTTGTTGAAAACATATTTTTCAAGTGTCTGATCTTTCTAACAAGGGACATTTGGTGTACAAATAGGTGGAAGAGTAAAAGTGTAAGTTATTCATGGTTCTTTTCAGATCTCTCCTCTTCCCTCTGCTTTTTCTAACTTCTAAATATCCATGTTGTCTTCTCAGTTCCCTGTCATCCTTAAAGGATAAAAACAAAGTATGAGAGAATATTTTAGACAAATCATTTTTTCCTGGGGAAAGTTGTTGTTTTGTTTTGATTTACACATAGTCAGAACCACATCACTTACTCCAAGTCTTGTGGTTGTCTAGTGATTATTAGTTAATTGGTCAAGTTGTGTGCTGTGCTTGTTGAATCTGTCTGACATATAAGCCTTGTTGTATTTTTTGTTGCTCCTGGGGAATGTGTAGTGTTTTGCTGTCTCTTTGTTTCCTTTGGAAGTTAAGCTTCAAGGCCACAGTTTTTGGCTTAACTGCATTCCAGTTTTCCTTTGTGACCAGAAGTGGAGAATAACTGTATTAGTAAAGATGAAATTAGTCTTAGCAGTGATGTAATTAGAAATCCTTCTCGTAAGTCTCTTCCTTTCTGTCTTTGGTGCTTCTGTTATTCTATCTGAGGGCCTAATGTAAAGAAGGAAATTAAGAGAGCCTTGAGCTTCTGTCTGTCTTAGTTCTGTGCTGCTAATTATCTCACAGATCCGTCTTTCTCATGCATTTCCTCAATAATTGGACTGTCACAGAAAATCTAGTTACTTTCCAAAAATGCATGGGTATTTTTTTAATAATACGTTTGAGTAACTTTTTTTAGTGAAATGGAAAAGCTAAGCCTCAGACTTTGTGGGAAGCAGTAGGTCCCACTGTGCTCTACACAAATTCTGTCATGGGTCTGGTGTGTAAGAGGTGCCAGCAATGTGGGGGTGAGGGTGGGTGGGACACGTGTTGGTGTGGGGCTGTCGGTGGTATCAAGCTGTATGCAATGAAAAAAACCACCTTACTTCTGCTTATTAGGTGTTCTTCAGTTTCCTGCTTGTTTTCTTTGCCATCATTTTTATTGCTGCATAGAGCAGGAGATGGATAAAATGCTCAAGTTAGTGACAGAAGTGCAGGTTTTATGTGGATTCTTCCATTAACTAGTGGCTTACTGTGCTATTAGTTATTGTATTGTATTTTGTACTCCAAAAATGCTAACTTTTTTGAAACCATCCCTGAATGTTATGCAAATTCTTCTCTAGCAGTTATATTTTATGTCACCTAATAGCAATTACTGTTGCTATACAAAGATGTGCTGTCACATAAACCATATGGAAAGTATACACTGTATGTTTTATCTAAATGTTATCCTGTAGCCTTATTAAAACTGCTCCCCAGATGACAGTATTTCTGTGCTGTTGAGGATAGAAATATTTTGCCAGGTTCCATGCTTGGCTAAAGTAATGTCCATGGTGGATAGCGTAGGAGATACCTGTACCTGAAGACTCTGAGCTTTTTAAGACCTTGGCCAGCACCAAGCCATAAATAATTTTAAATGTTTCTGACTCACAAATCTCCCATTTGAATGGACAGATTCAGCTGCAGCTGTACGTAGTGCGAAATTCCACATAAGAAACCATATCTATTCAGTCCGTTATTCTGTAGCTGATTTTTTTAAAGGAAGAATAAAAGAACACTTATAGTGAGCAGATATGAAATGACCTGCCTGAAACTCAACTTTGAGCTTTTCAGTTCCCATGAAGTCGTGCTTGCAACTATTATTTTCTGTAATGTAAAAAACTATGTTCTCATTTTATATTCATGCATTTAGCAGTTTGGTATGTTGATGGCTTTGCACAACCAATTTATTAGGATCTCAGTTTCACTGGATATCCTTTGTATAAAAGGAACTTTTTTTTCTGAGTAGCTTTGTGATTTGTCATCTCAACCTGACAGCTTCAAATTTTTCCCTGCTCTTCAAATGGATCCTTATTACTCCTTCTGTGGATCCATTTCACTCCAGTTATGCATCATCTGAATTGGGAAGATCAAAACTGAATCCAGTAGTCTAATTTCAGACATGACAGTGATTATATAATAAAAAACAACAGAATATTTTTAATATTATTTTATATTTTTTCTGGATTGTGGGGTGTCTTGAAGAAATAAAAATGGGAGAATCACTGCATGCCTGCTAGTGGTTATAGGAAGAATATTACATGGCTGAAATGGCCCTGGACAGTTATGGTGAATTGAGAGATGAATCTGAATGGTATGAGAGCAATTGATTTGGATTTTAAAATTGAGCTAGTTAATACAATGGTTTAATGTAAGACCTGTAGACTATTTTAATGAATCTTAGAGTCTACTTTCCAGTTGCAGAAAATGTGTAAATATAAAAAGCTGCTCAGTATTATTTAAGTTGCCTAGCATAAAGAAATCAAAATGCTTTTAAATTGATGGCAGAAACAGTATATCAATTTGTTTAGTCTCGAAACCCTACTCAAATATAATTCATATTGAAAGAATCATAGTTTTATACAAATGCAAATTACAGTCTTGAAAAGTTAATTCAGCACCACTGCAAATTACATTCACTTTCATTAGCATTTGAATAAATGTTTTGCTTGTGGTGGAAAAGGTTTGTCACATTGACAAAGCACTCCAAGCCAATTGTGCTTATTAAAAAAGAAGAGGTCCTGCTGTTGGTTTGAAAACAGCAGTTTTGTAAGGCTCCATCAGTCAGAAGTATTCATTTCTAAGCTGCTTTTAACTGTATTGCTTGGATGATTGATTGGTTTTCCTTATTTTTTTTTTAATGCTTTTTATTGTAACTTGCTAGAAGATCAACAGGGCTACCTCCAGTACTTTCTCCTCAATGTTTTCAGTTTTTAAGGTGTTGTGAGAAAACAGTGTCATTTGCCCTTGATTTATGAACATCACCAAACCAAAGCAGAATTACAGTGCTTTGACTACTCAACATTTTTAGGTGGAGGCAGATGTTGAAACAGGCACTCGTGTGTACATCTGTACATTCCATGTGTCTGTAAAAACTCCTTGTTTCCAGTTAAATGCCAGCTCCATGATTGTGATTCTTACAGACCACTGCTTCTTGAGATTAAGATAGTACAGCACTCTCTTTCTTTTGGTGGGAACAGATTCTTCTAGAATAAACCGCTCTTTATGTCACTGGCACTCCTTTTTGTTTTCTGTAAGGATGAAAAAGGAGCAGTATATGAGCTATCAAAACTGCAGTCAACAGCTCGTGGCTCTCAGAAGACACTGTTTTAAGAGCAGAATCTCTTTTTCGTGTTACAGTTCTTACACATGCTGGAAGGGGGTGGCATTGTGCCAATAGAAGCCCCAGAAGCACAGCTTGACAGTAGTAAATGTTTACATTTTCCTTACCTAAGAACAGCTGGAGCAAACACAAATAGGAGAGGGAGAAAGGAATCCTGTAACATTTTTTAAATAAATTATTGGATGCCCAAGAATTTCACACAAGTTGGTTTTTAAAACATCTGTTCCTATGAGAAGCAGAATACACTGATACTTTAAGTTACTGTTGAAAAACTCCCCCCAAAAAAGCTAATTCCTAAGTAGAAATGGCTGTATTTATCTACCAATGGGCAAGTTTCTTAAGGTCTTACAGCTTTGCACACAGAGAGTATTGCATTTTGAGGTAAATGGAAACATTTGTTATGTTTGTAAAACTTCCTACGGAAGTCCGTTCAGAACTCATAGGCAATGGGGATAATAATTCTTTCAGCAGTAGTTGTTCTGCTACTTTTTTTTAATGGGTTGTGTAAAACATCTTTGTTTTTTTCATGCAGATGCATGTATATATCTTAATCTAAATATAGGTAGATTGATTGGTATAGATATACATGCACTGCCAAGATCTCCATGTAGTTTCTGTCTTTGCTCCACAGATATAACATATTTTGAAATATCTGTCTGCATAACTGTGTCCTTCAGTTTACACAGCTGTATTTTACTATTAAAATATATGTAGACCTTTATTCAGAAAGTGTCAAATTAACACTTCCAAGAAAAAAAGCTGCTGGGTAGTTCCTTCTATTCATTTATTGCTATCAGAAGAATATAGGATTTTCCTTACTTTTTCATTTTGCAGAGAGAAAGAAATGCATGAATGTACAAATGGTAAACAAAAAGGAGGGCATAAATCTGTAAATTGCTGTACAGATATGGTGGAAATATTTATTTCTCTCATTCATCGTTTCTTACAGTGCCTGTAGCATGCTAGGGGCTTTCAAACACATGAAGAAACACAACTGATCTAGTTCATATCAATCTCACTAACTGTAAAGGCTTTTGTAGAGTTGCATATTACCAACTGACATTGCTGTCAAAATACAATGAGAAGGGAATGAGAGAAACTGTGTATTTTTTGCATTGGTTATTAGCCAGTGTTTCTATGTATGTATTCAGTGTGTAGAGTGTGAGTCCACTCTAGATTATCTCTGAAAGGTCATGACAACCAGGAGAGGTTCCTGAGGGCTGGAGGAAAGCAAATATCACTTCAAGATGGACCAGAAGGAAGATCTGAGTAACTACAGTCTGGTCAGCTTTGTGCCTTGATCCCTGCAAACCATTTCTGAGGGTAATTTGGTGATCTAAATTAGTCGTCATGGATAATGAGGAAGTAGTGACTGACCAATGTGGTAGCCTTTCAAAATAAGAAAACTGGCTTTCTGAATCGGGGGAGAGGAATGGATATCATTTGATCTCAGTTGCAGTGAGGCTTTTAACACTGTCTTACTGATGAAATAGGGACTAAAGAAGTAACAGTGGGTTGGATTGAAAACTGGCTGAACTGCTGGTCTCCAGTGGTTGTGATTAGCTCAGCTGGATGCCAGTCACTAATGTTGTGCCCCAGGGGACAATATTGGATCCAGTCCTGTTTAACATCCTCATTAATGACCTGGACGATGGGGGCAAAGTGCCGGTTCAGCACTTTGGCAAATGATTCAGAACAGGGGGTGCAGTAATGGTTGATAGACAAGATGAGTGTGCTGCCCTTTTGGGGGCCCTGACAGTCTGGAGCACAGAGCCAACAGGAATCTCACTTGCAAGTGACCTTTGCAAGTGGTTGTCTCCAGCTTGACTGCTAACACCTCTCTGATACGGAGTATAGTTTCACCCGGATAGAAAGATTCTGAATTGAGCTTCACCGAATAAAAAGATATTCTCCAAGGAAACCTGCAAATGAGGAATTCCTGTAGAGGTTACTCAGAGCTTGAACAATAGAGATTTTGAGGGTTTTTTGATGGCTTTGATATCTACAGCATTATGTGATGGTCTGTGGTCTGCACTTTGTTTTCCTGACAGAACTTTCTGAAATGTTCAATATTACACATATTTGGAAGGGGGAGGAGATTTAATGGACCACTGCTGCAGTCTATCCAGTAGAGCCTTTTCCCTTTCCCTGGTGTTTGTGTTAAAAATTATCACATTTGTTTCCTAATAAAACTTTCTGTTGAAGTGCAGCAGTATTTTTCCATTGTAAGATTTTCAGCAGCAGCATCTTAAGTGCTGGTATGTGACTACAT